GGCTCTTGTTCTCCCGAAAAGCGGTTCTACAAGACACAAAATTGGAGCAGAACTTGTGGGCACAGCTCTCTCCTTCATCATCACCAGCATATCTGTCTGTCCATTTGGTAAATATTGTTTGCATGCCTGGAAACTGGGAGAGAAGGACAATCAGATAACCTATATACCTTGCAGAGGCTCACCATCTGGGGAGTCCCATGGTAGACTGGTGTTTCCAAGGAGAAGAGTGGTCAAGGCCATTATTCTGGGGTGTTCGTGCTGTTGGAAATGTTTCTCATGTGTTTCTACCGATTTATTAGTGGATTAGTTGGTTGATTGGTTGATTGCCTCTCTTGGGCTCGTGTATCTTGCCCACCATCTCCTTTTGGGGTTCTCCGATGGGGTGTCTGCAGACAGAAGAGCCTTCTGCCTGTGCTTTGGCAAGGCAGTGTGTCTGTTGGGAATTCCCTGGGGGACAGGAAGATCACCAGGGTCTTGTTCAGGAGACTTGCATTTGGAGTGCTGTGGGTGTCCTGTCTCTCCCCAGCCACCTGGTCCCCATCCTAAGACTTGGTAGCATCTTTGTTCTCCAGCATCAGACAACCCTGACCGGTGGTATCCAGTGCATCCCACCAGGCTGAAGGGCAGATAGACTGTCTGTGACTCACACCCGAAACCAACGGAAGTATGCTTTCTAAATCCTAACCTCAAACTGTGAATGTGGAACTCGAGAGTCAACTGTTCATGGAAGCCTGGCTCTGTTGCGAAGGCAGCACCTCTGGGTCCTGCCCGAGTTGTCCCAGGAGGTAATCTTCCTCTCTGCAAACAACTTAGGCCCTGCATCTTGGCTTTGCAACACACTCTCTCAAGTATGATTCTTGGACCACCTCGGATATACCAGGCACGCTGTCCATTGCTGATCTCGACAGTATGCTAGTTTTGAGTATGGCAGAAGTTAGTCTTTTGCGTAATATTTAAATGAGGAAACCCCCTCATGTTGTAATCCACTGGAAGCTTGCTCTCTCTGTCTCCCTCTCTCTTTGTTGTTAAAATGAGGTCGTTCTATTGCACAGAGTTCCGGTGGTGCCCTGGATTTGTCTGCTGCTGGGCTGCCCTTGCCCACTCAGAGGCCTGCGCCAGCTCCGCCTTAGTGTGCTGTGAGGTGTTGGGGGGCTTGGTGTCACAGAGGCCTGCGTTCGGGTCTGCCCTACCACAGACCAGCCCTTTCCTGTTAGGTGCGCACATGCCTTATGTCACAGAGCTAGGATGTGACGCCGAGATTCAAAGTGTCTGCCCAGTGAAACCCCAAATCACATGTGGGCCAGTAATTTACAATGAACTCAGACACTAGAGTGCCTTAGGAGTAACAGCCTTGAGCGACAAACGTGTACACAAGTCAGAACTGGCCAGGCGTCCCTTTCTGATCATTGACCCCTTAAGTCGTTAGGAAAGGAGGACCCTGTCGTGTGTGTTCCTTAAGTCATCCGAAAGAGTTGGCAATTGTCCTCTCTTCCTTGGTGAAGATGATTGTTAAGCCTCTGTACAGAGCAGTGCTGACTAGTGATTACAGAGGAGTTCAGAAATGTGTAGTTATGTTGGAAATGTTCAGATGCAAGGTTATTTCACTGAGACACTAACTGCCTGCATCTCAAAAAGAAGAAATGCGGCTTCCTTCCTTACATTGTTCACTGTGACCGAAAGCAACAGATGCATTTATATGTCTAATGGGCATTCAAGGGACAGCGTGACAGTGCGCGGGAATAAATATTTGCGTGTAGGACCCTGAAGAAGATGGCCTAGCTCCCTACCCTCCGTAGAAGTGCTTACAGCCCAGTTATGAGAGTGGAGACCGGCGAACAGTGGTCATTGGAGAGGGTGACAAGTCATATGCCAGGGGTGACCTAGAGGTAGGGAGACAGCAAGGCTGGCCGAGCTGAGGGCCTGTGTCTTAAGGAGGCAGCTGTGCAGAAGGATGTGGAGGCAGGGAGCAGAAAATTGAGACCCGGAGAAATGCGTCCGGTGATGTCACAAGACTCGTCACGAACAGATGGAATCTGGAAATAAAACCGCCACCTCTAGGATAGGGAAACCATATTTAGACACCAGGCTGGCTCTCTCCATACCCAGATCAAAAATGTAGATTTGAATAATAGCGGTGTTGGTGGGATTTCAAGAGCATTTAACATATATAGATAGATCTCTCTATCTAGCTATGTATTTTTTTTGTGCCTAACAGTGATTTTTGTCCTATCATAGGGTGTTTGCACTCCTGAGCAATGTTGAACACCGCCTTTTCCCTGGGTTTTTCCCCTCAGATGAGTTGTGCTTTGCTTTGCAGTCCTGTTGCAGACCGGTCCAGTGGAATAAGAACAGGGTGGCGCTGGGCCCCAACCCCAAGAGGGTTGCAGGTCTCCGGGAACCTCAGCTTAGAGCCTCCTTGTCCTCCTCCCTCCTGGGGCTGCACAGCAGCTCTCCCCTTGGTAACATGTCGTTAGCATGTTGTGCATGAGAACCAACAACCTCACCTGCATATCAATCGCTGGAACTCTGGACTGCAGCTGCCTTTGTAATTTTCCGTTGTGTGGCTCGACTCACTGCTCCAGTGTACACCCAGGAGCATGTGTAGGGTGATGCTGAGTTGCTTTTGCTGGCAAAGTCCTTAAGTCGTTTCATTTTCTTGTGCTTTCTGTCTCTGGATCTTGCTATCACCATTGACTTTATCCTTGAAAACACAGAAAAAGATATACAAAAATATACACACTGATACACATCTACAACACAGACACATGCAACATACATGATACAGATGCACATAAACACGCACGTTATCCACATTCTCTACAAAGTAGTCACTTCGAAACCTGTTAGAAACACAGATTGGAATATGACCCTGCATGACCCCAAATTCTCATTTTTGGCCTCTGTGTGTGTGTGTGTGAGAGAGAGAGACTCAGATTTCCTGAATTCTTATCAACTGGGATAATAAACGCCAGTTAGTGGTTTTGTGGCTTTGACTTTGCGAGTTTGTGGGGGGGGGGGGGGGAGGGGTCAAGAAAAAATAAGGGATGGGAACAAACTTGGTGCAGAAATTTCTGTGCTAATGTCAATCTAACTAAAGTTAAATGTTGGGAGCGTGGTGAACTACACTTCTAGAATGAGAAGTGACCATGCAGCGGGTACTGCTCCCCTAGAGAACAGAGTGCCCTCAAATCCTGCAAAGGACAGATGCCCATTAGGAAGACAGGAAGGGGCCCGGGCGCCTTCTGCCTGAGAGAGAACCAGGAGCCGACCTGTCCGGCAGGCCTTCTGCTCTGAGTCCTTGTTTACTTCTCAGTGGGGCTTTACTCCCACCGGTGAATCTCTTCCATTTCTGGGTAGATCTCAGAGCAAGTCCTGTCTGAGGCACTTGTAGATAAAACTCCTTTTTAATTAACATAATTAAATGTGAATCCAGATGGCCAAAGTCACTCAGGTTTTAACAGTAAATTGTAGCTAATTTAATCCTCTGATTCTGAGGTGGTGGATATTTATTAAATAACAGATACTAGGTGCTTTCATGTGGGTCTGTGGATGCTAGGTTTCAAGAGTTTTAGTAGAAGGAAAAACAAGTTCCAGCGTACCTCACCTCTTTGAAATGAAATATTGGGAAGCTGTTCGTGAATTGTCATGAATTAGGTTTCACGGTCCTAAGAGGCACAATGGCTTAAATGGAAGGGAGACGAGGGCATTCACTCTTCCACAGCAGGCCACAGGTATTAGGGAGTGACAGGTGACAGGATGTCTTCTCGGAATGGGCTGTTAATTTGACAGTGTTTAAATGCCATTCTGTATTTTGTAATCAAACAGCTGCTTGACTGCGTTGTTCTCTAAACCCTCCATTGCCGTGTTCTCGTTATTTTGATAACTTGTAGTTTCTCTTAGTGTGTACCTAATGCACATTTTAAAGAAGTGTAACTTTCTTGAGCTGGGTTAGTATTTTCTTAAGCTCTTATGCTTGGCTGTTTTGTTACAGCTTGTTCTCTAAGCTTAGGCTGTGTCTTCAGCCTCCTGGAAGCAGAGAACAAACCTGTCCTCTTTCGGGGTCCCAGCGGTACTTGAGCACGCTGTCCTCTTCCAGATGCTGGGGACTTCCAGAAGGCTTCGGGGCAGGGTCTGGCTGTCTCTCTGTTCTCCGTAGTACAGGGTGGGGAGTGCAGCCCCAGCTGGCTGACAGTGGGGAGGGGGAGGGAGTTGGCCTGGTCTGGATTCTACTCTAGAGCATCCATTGAACATGGAGGGGACCTTGCTCCTGAGGGCATAGCAAGAGAGACATGCACAGGCCTCTCAACTCCCAGTGCAGTGGCCTGGATGGAGTTGGGCCATCTGTAACACCTGGGCCAGGTATCGTGTCCCAGGAGGCAGGCAGAGCACCTTTTGGGCCCCAAGGGGGCGCTGGGCGTCTCGGGGAAGTTCTTCTATCCAGCTTGTCAGTTCTTCGGTTCCATCTCTTATCGGCACATGTGCTCCACCTGCTGGTCCTCCACCTGCTGGTCCTCCATCTGCTGCCCTTGTCAGGGTCTCTAACAACTCAGAGGTTGTCTTCTCAACAGAAAACGGCTCTTCCTTGAGTGGAAGAGCCCATCAGAGGCTCGTTTGATTACTCTGTTGGGTTGGAAGAAGCAGTGTGTCGGCAAAGGCATGGCCGGCTGATTTGCTGCAAGTTTGACAGTTGTGAGCTCACAAGCTGTAGCTGTGGCACAGATAACCATGCACATGAATGTGTGTGTATCTAATGTGTGTGCATGAGTTTTTAATACCTCGCCTCTTATGACGTGACCTGCCAGTCTGTAGCCTAATGTGCAGTACGTGTTTGGATTCGATCCTTTGCATTAGGAATTGTGGTGGGGACAGGTATGGGAAAATGCATACGGATTTAATGCCCTAGACTGGTTTAAGGAGATAATCAAGATCTGCGTCTAGTCCCCTTTAAGGAGAGGATGTTAATTGGAATTGTTCCCTGTTTTTATTCGTTCTTCCTCTAGACAAGCAGATGCCCAGTGTCGAGAAGACAGTCCAGGAGACCAGCGGAACCTGTCCCAGGTCTCTGAGCTGCCTCACGTCCCGGGAGCTCCAGAGGCGCCCTGCGAGGGCCGCGGCCGCGCGGGGACCCTCCCTCGCGATTACAGATACTCAGAGGACAAGGCGCCCGCGACCCCGCCGCCGCCGCTTGGCCCAGGCCCCACGGCTCCGGCGCAGGCCCTACGGCCCGTGAGCGCCAGGAGACCGGGCCCGCAGAGGCCACTCAGGGGCCCCACCGGCCCTGCTGCCGGTCCCCGCAGCCGGCCCCGCCCCCTGGCGTCCCCTGTGGCCCTGGAGGTGTGTGTGGCCCGCCTGTCCCTCTCCTGCAGCCCCTCTGCCTCGGCGGAGGAGCCAAGCAGTGCCCAGCCCGCGGACGGCCCGAAGGCCGCCGCTGAGCACGACAGGCAGGATGTAGACGAGCGCGCAGCCTGTCCCTTCCCATCCCAGTGCCGGCCCCTGCCGCCCGCAGCCATGGACACCTCTCGCTCCCCTTCGCCTCAGTTCGCGCCCCAGAAGCTGACGGACAAGCCTCCCCTGCTCATCCAGGACGAGAATTCCACAAGGTACTGTCCAGGCGCGGTGGCCCTGGGCCTTCTTCCCCTCCTGCAAGCCCCCTTCCCACTGCGGGAGGTTTTCCATGCATCTTTCCTGGGCGGTGTAGACTGGCACCTTGCGTCTGCTCCAGACAGTGCACTTAAGTTGGTCCTGGGGACTAACCACGTAGGGGAGAACCCACAGCTCCAGTGTCAGTTGGATTTTTAACTTGTTGAGGGGGGTGTCCTGTCCCACAGGGAGCAAGGGGGGTGTGAAGGCGGTGGTGGGGCATCCCCCGTCCCCTTCATCCAAGCCCAGCACATTTATATCTGCCTTGCCCACAGGCGTCTGCACACTGGGGCTGTGTTTTCCCTAAGCACCTGCTATTTGTAATCGGGATCACGTTTGATCCCAGCATGAGCCCTTCAGGCAAAATTGATGTTTGTCATCATATCCGATTCTTCTTCACTCCTCTTTTTCTAGATCTTCACATGTGAAAAAACTAAGCTGATATACACCTTTTATGAAAGCAGAGGAAACGGCAATCACATTTCGTGGTGCTGTTGTCAGAATTTCAGTCAGGCACCTGGCCAGTCAAGAGCAGTGACCGTTGAGCTTTCTTTACCCTCCTCTCTGAGTGCCTCTGAAGAGCTGAGAAATAGAAGAAGTGGGAAAGTTTCATCCCATTCTCTAGAGCAGGGGTTCTCAACCTGAGGCAGGGAGATTTTGGCCCCCAGGGGACATTTGGCAATGTCTGGAGACATTTCGGGTGCCACAACTGAAGGAGGGCGGTTGCTCCTGGCATCTAGTGGGTAGAGGCCAGGGATGCTGCTCAACATTCTACAGTGCACAAGATGGCCCCACAGCAAAGAATGATCTGGGCCTCAGTGTCATTACCATCTAATACAGTGGCTAACAGTCACACGTGGCTGTATGAACGTAAGTAAGTGAAAATTAAACAAAATCCATTCCTCAGTTGTACCACATGTGGCTAGTGGCTACTACACTGGACAGCATAGATAACGGCTGTGTCTATCATCACAGAAAGTTCTGTTGGATCTCCCTGCTCTAGAGTCTCAAACTGTTTCTTTTAGCTTCAAAATAAGTCAGCAGAGAAGACGTTATTGACACCGTCCTATATCTCCAATGTCTCATCGCAACCACAGCTTCAGCTGTGGGCCAGAACTGTGCTTGGTGTCATACAAAATTAAGTTCTGAAAGGAAGGAACAGCAATAAAGTGTTTGGTCTGTTTGGTGGGTCAGGTGTATGATATTGTCACCAGCTGGTCTAAGCATGGTGTGCTGCTTGGAGAAACAGGCCACATGCTTGCACTCATGACCTGTGTTGCCTCCAGGAGGTGGGTGGTATTTTGCATTTTTTCTTGCCTGGAGTGTTGATTTTTTTCTCACTCCATATTTTCTCTGAGTTTGAAAGGGATTTCAACAAACTGTGACGATATTGATTGAAGATCCTAAGGAGGGGTCTTTGGGCATCCACATTTAGTGTTCCCATCCAGCACATCATCTGGGACAAAAGTTGTCTTGGAACCATGTCCCCTGCTGTATAAGCCCTCACAGAGGGCCTGAATTCCAGTCAGTGTCCAGAGCCATCTTGCTATGTGTCCTCTCTGTCCTCCTCCGGAGCACGGTAGGGCGGATGGGGGCTGTGCCACCGACAGAAGTTGCTACCAAGGAAGTTGCTCATAACATACTGAACTAAATGGCACCTTCCCCCAGGGCACGTGTTATTGGTCAGGCCTGGTATGAGAGTGTGGAGTCCCAGTGACATGCAAGACGAATGAGAGGCCGGTGCTCAGCAAGAGCCCTAGCCCTGCCCTGTGCCCATGATAACTAGCAATGGTCAGCAAGTGAAGTGTGCCCGGGATGGGGCCTCTTATGCTGCTTGTCGTTTGGGCACAGCTCAGAGACACTCTCCTCCTGACTTCTGGGGACTGATTTCTTGAGCCTTAGCTGCCCACCTCGTCTCCTTCCATGTCTCGTCTCTCCCTCATTCCAGTCACCTCTATGGATCACAAGCGTGCATGTGCTCCCTGCCGCTGGGGAGCTGGCCGGGGTGGAGGGCGGCGGCCTGTGTCTGCATGCCATGCCTTCCTGGGTTCAGCAGACAGTTACTGAGCAGCTCCTGAGTGCCAGGCATTGGCTCGCAGCGGGGATGCCGAGCGAAAGAAGATCAACGTCCCCACTCTGCGGGGGTTCAGAGTAGTCGTTCATTCCAAACAAACATGCATCAACTCCTGTCCTAAAACTGGGAAGCCTACTTTTAAATCTCTTAAAATTCTCTGAGGGTTTTTTGCTTTTAACTACAAAGTAGATCTAATGGCCAGCAGTGTCTTCAGTCACTGTCAGTGGTAGTTAGAGATTTGATCGCTCCCAGAAGTGTTAGGAGAGGCTTCCTGAGGCCCGTTTCTGTGTGGGAGCGTGTGAGAACAAAGAGCCAGGAGGGCTGCTTCGGGGTCGTTTTGACTGGATCAACTGCAGCACCCATGTTTGAGAATCTCCTGCGTGGGTCGTGAGGTCTCTCAGACCCAGAATGGCACGCAGGCTGAAGGGCTCCCTCTGGAGTGGGGGTGTGAGCAGAGCTGGTTGGACTGTTTAATGTTGGGGGCTGGACTGCCGTGAGCAGCAGGTGAGTCACCTGGAGGGAGCTGGCACTCTGAGAGAAGCCGCGTCACGGCACGGAGAGGTGGACCGGGACTTGGCATACCCGTCCTCCTCTGGCCCTCTGGGTCCTGCCTTTCCATTAGGAACTGGAGAGATCCGGTTGCGGTAAGGTCGAATCCACTGGGTTTTGTCCTCATTTTGAAGTAAAAGTTCATCAGACTTTTTTGATGCAGAAGTTGGGACAGTTTTCAAGAGGAGTCTGAGACGATTTGTGCTTAGAAATGCCCAGGGAGAGATGCTTCGTCGGATAGTGTATGTCCACCCGGGGAGGATTTGCTTTCTCTATGTCTAATATGTCTTCCTTCACTAGAGATCAAGTTTCCACGAATGGGGGAAGGTGCAAATACAGGCTGACTTAAAAGTCAGGAGAAGGTGATCGGTGGGTTTCTAAGCGTGGAATGAAAGGAATGAAGAGGAGTTCTTGTTTGTTTGTTCTCGCTTCGATAAGATGCCAGAAGTTTCCTTCTGAAGGTTAGCATATCTCAACAGTATTTACCACAGAGTTAGACTGTTTAAGGGTTTCTACTGGAGGAGAGAAGAAAATACAAAATTATTTCGTTTTAGCCCGCATACCACACCCTCATGAACAGGGAAAGAACCGCACTGTGTTCCCAGCCACCAGCGAAAGGGTGAGAAACAGCCTTTAATTTAGAGCACCGGAGCGTCCCTTGTGCTACATAAAATTAGGTCCCTTAGGGTCACATGGTAGAAGTGATGTTTGGCTCACTGAGTTAGGAACAAGTCTGGAGTTTGGGTTATGTGATTTTGGCTTGTTTTTCCTTCCCTCCTGAGCACCATCAGATGGTTCTCTTTCTCCAGTATGTCCTTTAAAAATACTTGAAACAGATTCTTGTGCCGGTGGCCCTCATCCACAGGGTCCCCAGCTGTGGTCAGTGAGGTGAGACTGAGGGCGCCAGCTGGCACTTGGGTTGTCCCAGATGACTAAGCTGCTTTTACCACTTTCTCTCTCTTCCTTGTGGGAGTTCAAGGTGCTCTTCCAGCTCCTTTCACCGAGAAACGTTTTTTTAAAAAAAGAAAAATGTGTCCTTAGTGAGTCATTTAAAATAATCCAGAAGCAGTGTGTCTGTGTTTACTGCTGGATCCCTATCTCACTGGTATGAAAAGCTGTGCAAAGGGCAGCTTGAAGTGTTGGGTGGTGGAAGACAAGTGGCGGGTGACACCCAGTGTGCACAAGCATCTGAGGAAGCTTCAGATTGGGGCAGGGAGCGGGTGGCACTCAGCGTCCGCTCAGTACATAGCCATCCTGTATAAAAGTCCTCCCTCAGCCCCGAGGGCCGCACAGGCACCCATGGTGTGCACTGACGCTGTTTTGAGAGCCCCTGACCAAAGGCACTGATGATGATTCTGTGAAAAATGCCTATCTGTTGCAGGTTTCCCCTACAAAAGAAAATTTAACTGGGCAGGGCTTGTTAAGGTTTGCACTGTCATTGATAAGAACAAATGAGTGTTACACCATCTCCTATTGGTAAGCCCCAGGGAAACGCCCTTGGGCTCCTGTAGGGGTGTAGGTGACTATTTGAAAATGGAAAGGCTCCTAGACACTGAGGGTCAGGATGCCAAGTTAGGGGTAGCAGGGAACTTCTTGACCTCCTCTCCCCATCCTGGGACATGCAGTCACAGAGGCTCCTTCCAGCGGGGTGGCCTCAGTCTTTGAGTCTCAGGGTTCCCTGTCTGTAAGGAGAGGCGAGGGGGCCGACTGGTTCTAGTCCTGGGTAGGAGCCTGTGCCTGAGTGCACTTTGTGTTTTCAGCAGACGGCTCTTGTCTTAGCAGAATCGAGCGGGTGATTGACAACAACACCACGGTGAAGATGGTGCCCATCAAGATCGTGCACTCGGAAAGCCAGCCAGAGAAAGAGAGCCGCCAGGGCCTGGCCCGTGCCACCGAGCTGCCCGAGCTGCCCAGCGGGCTGGAGAGAGACCAGATCAAGACGCTGAGCACGTCCGAGCAGTGCTACTCCCGCTTCTGCGTGTACAGCCGCCAGGGCCCCGAGGCTGAGCCCCAGCCCCCTGGCGCCCTGGCGCCCGCCGCCAAGGACAGCCAGGCCTCCCCTCCTGGGCTCAGCTACGTGAAGGCCAAAGAGAGGACGGCCGAAGACCTGAAGTCGGAGGAGCTGGCCCGAGAGATTGTGGGGAAGGATAAGTCCCTGGCCGATATCCTGGACCCCGGTGTGAAGATCAAAACCGCCATGGACCTGATGGAGGGGATCTTCCCGAAAGACGAGCACCTCTTGGAAGAAGCTCAGCAGCGGAGGAAGCTGCTCCCCAAAATCCCCTCTCCTAGAACTGCAGAGGAGAAGTGAGTAGATGCTGCCCTGGGTTCGCCGTTTGGCCGTGGGTGGTTCTGCTTAAAGGCGGAGGGGCGTATCTGTTGTTCTGTTTTCCTGATTGCTTTGGGGGCACAGATTTTCGTAAGGACTGCCTGATGCTTAGCACTTTTTGGCTTTTTTGTGACCCTCGCGAAAGAGAAGTTAAGGCATTAGGAGGAGTTAAGAAGTTAAGGAGAACCCGTTCCTGGGGACAATGGGCTGCAGGTTCTGGGAAAGACAGGAAGATAGTGCAGCTCCTGCGCTTTCTTGGCTGGAGGCCAGTGTGGTTTACGGTGATCCGCGCAGGGCTCCTTTCTCACAAGACAGCAGTTCCCAGCTGGGGGCCGTCGTCTCCCCCCAGAGAACAGTTGGCAATATTGGGATACAATTTTGGTTGTCACATCTGGGAGAGGTGCTTCTGGCATCTACTGGGTGGAGACCAGGGATGCTGCTGAACATCCTACAATGCACGGGACGGCCCCCACGGCAAAGAATGATCCAGCCCCACGTGTCCCTAGTGCTGAGGTTGAGAAACCTGTCGTAAGAGGAGTGAAGGCTTAGACTACTGAGTATGTGTGTTTGTTAAAGAGGAGATAGAGATGTCGGTATGTGAGTGAATGAATTGCTTTTGATTGGTTTTGTAAATGGCACATTTCATCCTCTCTCATTCAGCCCCCTGCAAAGGTGTGTGTGGTTACGCCTGCCCTGTTGTTGATGCACACCATATCCGTAGGTATCATTTATTGACAGGCCGGAGTGCCAGTGCAGTGCAGCAGGGGCAAGACGGACCAAAGCAAGAGGGGGCAGGCATGGCTGCTGGTGGAAGGTGCAGGGGGCCTGATCTCTTAGAGATGGCCTGTGGCACACACATCTACATAGACCTCAGGCTCCCTGTCAAGACCATCTAAAAACTACATTTCACAGACTTTATGTGTATCCGTATGGCGAGGATTTTTCTAACCACATCACCTACTTTTTTCCCTCCTTATGCTGTCTCATCTCCCTGGCTGGCGTCCTTCTGCTAGCACCACCGTTTGCTTGTCACAACCCAGGTTGTGGGGCTATGGGCTTGTCTGTGCATACGATCACAGCTAATTGAAGTCCCAACATTTTTACCCAGGAAGGAGGAGCCAAGTGTGCCGGCGGCTGTGTCCCTGGCCACCAGTTCCACCTACTATAGCACGTCGGCCCCCAAGGCAGAGCTGCTGATTAAGATGAAGGACCTTCGGGAACAGCAGGAGTCTGAAGAGTCCTCAGGAAGCGACTTGGACCACGACCTGTCAGTGAAGAAGGTAGGAAAGCCGAATCCCGAACGAGAACGTGCCAGGCGGCGGGCAGGGCAGTGCACTTCTCCACACCCAGCGTGGGCCCCGCATCACTTGTCTGTGGGCATTTGTGCTTGGCTTTATGCAGGACAGTGACCTTTGGGGCAATGTTAGTAAGCCCTTTGTGGTTAAGTGTTCTTTTCTAAAATTGGGCCTTTCCACCAGAGTCTCTCTGCCATTTTGTAATGAGATCCAATGTCAATTAAGTGAGCACCATTCTCTTTCATTTTAAGTTCAACTGATATGTCTCTCTGCCCCAGTTAAAAAGCAGGGGACTTAAGTGTGTGACCTTCAACAAGTCATATGTCCTCTTAGAATATCAAGTTCAAATATTTGTAATCAGATCATCATAAATCCAACAGTGGGTTGGAAAGTGCTTTGTCAATCAAAAAGAATCATTTTGGGGGCCAGCCCTGTGGCATAGTAATTAAGTTTGGCACACTCCACTTTGGTGGACCGGGTTCACAGGTTTGGATCCCAGACGCAGACCTATACCACTTGTCAGCCACGCTGTGGTGGCAACCAACATATGAGATAGTGGAAGATTGGCACAGATGTTAGCTCAGGGCTAATCTTCCTCAGCAAAAAAAAAGAATCATTTGATCAACTCCAAAAACTTGCCCAGGCACTTCAGGATACAGCAGTAGACAAAACAGAATAGAGTCCTTCCTTCCTTGAGGGAGCTTATGTACTCACAAGATGGATAGCCAATGCATAAACAAATGTACAATACAGGATCAGCAGACTGGCCTGTGGGCCAAACCTGGCCCACCACCTGCTTTTGTAAATAAAGTTTTATTAAAACACAGCCACATTCATTCATTTACATATGGTCTCTGGTGGTTTTGCACTAGAGCAGCAGAACTGAGTAGTTGAAATAGTGATCATATGGCCTGTGAAGTCTAAAATATTTACTGTCTGGCCCTTTACAGTGAAAGTTTGCCGGTCCTTCATCAGGTGACTAACACATCAGGTGGTAAGATAATTAAAACAGAGTGAAGGAATAGAGAGAGACAAAGGAGTATGATTATAGAGAGTGCTCTGATGAGGTGATGATTGAACTGAGACCTGGAGTGATGTGAGGGGCAGGCCTTGTGGATGTCTTGGCATGCCAGGGAGGGGAGCCAATAAGTGCAAAGGTCCTGGGGTGGGAGCCTCATGGCATGTTGGAGAAGCAGCAGAGGCCAGTGGCTGGAGCTGTGTGGACAGGAAGGAAGAATCGGAGATAAAGTCTGAATGAGGTCAGGGACTAAATAGTGGCTCTCCATGAGGTCATGGTAAGGACAGAATTATTACTGTTAGTGCAAATGTCATTACTACTATATTAGCTTTAAATCTTCATGGCATGTCAGCAGACCAGACCTGTGACATCTAGGTGATTACCTGTTTTTACAGGAAGGACTTAACATAAAGAGATGAAGGAATTGCCAAAGAAAGTTTCATAGGCTAGCATGTGCTGTTTATTCCAGGGGCCTTCAGCTTGCCTAAATAGTCAGTGCCAGGAAAAGAAAAGGAGGGAACCAGCATTTTTATGAACGTTTGCATATGCTTAGCACTTTGGAAATGGCTTTCATAAAAAATACTCATTTTTTTTTACAAGACTTTTACAAGGGATTATATTGAAAGTCTGCTTATATCATTAGTGATTTTTAAAATGTCACTGTTTGATTTCAAATATGATGGACAAATGAGTTCCAAAAGAAATATTGTGACCCACGCATAAAGGAAAATGACTTTCAATTTAGGAAATGATAGCTTTTTGGTTCAAGGCATTAAAAAAAGGAAATGAAAGGGGCCCCCCCTGTGGCTGAGTGATTAAGTTCGAGCGCTCTGCTCCAGCGGCCCTGGGTTTCGCCGGTTTGGATCCTGGGTGCAGACATGGCATCGCTCATCGGGCCACGTTGAGGTGGCATCCCACATGCCACAACTAGAAGGACCCACAACTAAAAATATGCACCTACGTACTGGGGGCTTTGGGGAGAAAAAGGAAAAATAAAATTTAAAAAAAAAAAAAGGAAATGAAAAATCAGAGTTTTGTCGTGGGTCTCTTAGAGGCCCTGTATCTGGCTCAGGCTGCTGTTTGCTTTATTCTGGTTGCACTTTCCATTTTTTGAAAAATAAACAATCAGGGCCAGCCCTAGTGGCCTAACAGTTAAGTTTGGTGCGCTCTGCTTCAGTGGCCTGGGTTCGGATCCTGGACGCAGACCTACACACTGCTCGTTGAGCCATGCTGTGGTGGCAACCCATGTACAAAATAGAGGAAGACTGGTACAGATGTTAGCTCAGGGACAGTCTTCCTCAAGCAAAAAAAAATAAACAATCAAAAATGTTTTTAGTTACTCTCATAAAACTAAAAAGGTGTACAGTTTGGACACTTGTCATTCAGCCCATGCCCTTGATGCAGAGAACTCCGTTCTTAACGGTCCTCTTCTGTTTTCCATGATGTGATGAAGCTGGGCGGCAGCCCACCATGGTGCTGCCTGATGTCATCTGTGCTGCTCTCTCCATTTGCTTTGGGAGGCACGAGAGCTAGGATGCTTCCTCACCATAAATGGCTGCTTCAGAGTTGAGAGGAGTTACTGTGAGCTTGCCCACCCCACCCCCCTTTGATTACATTCTTTTGTTTTCTGGTGAGGAAGATTGGCCCTGAGCTAACATCTGTGCCAGGCTTCCTCTATTTTGTATGCGAGACGCTGCCACAGCATGGCTTGATGAGTGTTATGTAGGTTGGTGCCCAGGATCCAAACTCGCAAACCCTGGGCCACTGAAGTGGAGCACTTGACCACTATGCCACTGGGTCAGCCCTATCGATTACATTCTTAAGCTGACTGACATTTTTAGTTCAATAAGCATATGTTGGGCAATTTCACCATAAGCAGCAAACACTATAAATCACAATTCCCTGTGGCGTTAGTGACTCAGTAATCCTGCTTTTCTTCTTGATTGGACACAGACAACTTTTCTCCCTTCTTTCCAATACCCGCAGATTTACTGTGTCATGTGGTTGTGCAAAGTGTGCACAGGGGAGAAGAGGAGGTGAGCGCCGTGCAGGTGCACTTGCTTGGCCACTTAATGGTAAAACAACAAGATTCCTAGACCCCGTGCACTAGAAGCTCCCAGAGGGCCCGAGGCTGTCAGCGTGACAGCGTCACAGGGTGGTCACAGAGCCCAGTGCCAAATCAGGTGACCTCCTGTCTTAGGAGAAGATGGAAGACAGAGCCCCCAGGCAGGGATGCAGTGAGGGAATTGTGGTAGCCAGTAGGAAACGTTACACTAGGAAGGCAGAATATGTTTCTATACCTGGGGCAGCTCCGGTGGACTGCCCAGAAACTGTCTCATCTGAGCTATGGGACTTTTCAGCAGAACCAAAGATGGCTGATTGGTTGAAGTCTGGAATCTTTGAGGGCTATGGTTTTTTCCTGGAACCAAGAGCTGGGTGCAAGGCCCAGAGGGAAAAAGGCTTTGTTTCCCCCACAGAATGGAGCAGAAGGCAGGTATCTGGGATGAACCAGGGCCTACCCGAACAGAGAGGTGAGAGGTAGCTGTGTGCCTGCTGTGAGACCCGGGGGCCAGCCTCTGCCGTCGCATGCCCTTTTCCAAGGCCCCCTGGAAGGCTGCGTGCTTCAGAACATAAGTGGACAGGCTCATGGGCTGCTTGGTCTAACATGGCGAAGCCTTCAGCACCCTGCATATTGGTGATTGGCATTGGTTGATGTGCAGCCCTGGGCCAAGTCTCCTCTCAAAATCTTTTTTTTATTTTTTCTTGTCTTTTTGAGGAAGATTAGCCCTGAGCTAACTACTGCCAATCCTCCTCTATTTTCTGAGGAAGACTGGCCCTGAGCTAACATCTGTGCCCATCTTCCTCTACTTTATATGTGGGACGCCTGCCACAGCGTGGCTTGCCAAGCCATGCCATGTCCGCATCCAGGATCCAAACCGACGAACCCTGGACCGCCGAAGCGGAACGTGTGCACTTAACCTGCTACGCCACCGGGCCAGCCCCTTGTCTCAAAATCTTTGAAAGCCGATGTCTGTACTTCATGTAATGGCCCTTTAAGGAAGAATAGGAAAGTTTTCTACTAAAAATGTATGCAAGACTTATAAAGGAATTCGGACTCCTTCCAGAGCGCCCAGTTTCAAGTTAGCCCAGCTGATACTGTAGGTTTTAAAGGCGTGTCTTTGTGCATTGGCATGAAATCTACATTATGATAATTACTGGAGAACAATGAAACTGAAAAATTACCAGTAGCACTGGCTAGGGGTCCTCAGACATCCACAGTGGTCTAAATTACTGGAAGTATTCATTCAGCTGAGGATTGGCGTCAGGCAAGAATTTGGAAAGTTCTCCATCCCTGTAATCTATTTTGTGCTTTTCCCTCAAGTAATGAATATCTAAAATATGGCCACATTCTCAGCTATGGGGTTTGAAGTTGATTTAAACAGTCTTTCCAGATAGGGAAATAAACAGACACAGATACACAAGCGTGAACGCACACACAGGTACATACTCACCCTCTGAGAGAAAACAGCAAAGAAATCTAGATGCATACAGTCAAATTACTAGGGGAAGAGAATGTCTTGACATCCTGAGCAACTAAAAGCTGACCTGGAAAGGCCATTTGTAAATTCCTCGTGGTCTGTCTTAGGAGAGAAACCATTCCGAGTAATCAGCGGCGAGGATGGCTAGCCTTTTTTTTTTTTTTTTTTAAAGATTTTATTTTTTCCTTTTTTCTCCCCAAAGCCCCCCAGTACATAGTTGTATATTCTTCCTTGTGGGTCCTTCTAGTTGTGGTATGTGGGACGCTGCCTCAGCATGGTTTGATGAGCAGTGCCATGTCCGTGCCCAGGATTCGAACTGACAAAACACTGGGCCGCCTGCAGCGGAGTGCGCGAACTTAACCACTCGACCACGGGGCCAGCCCCGAGGATGGCTAGCCTTTAAGACTGTCTCCCATTTCAATCTGCTGGACATCCAGACCTACTGATAAACCTAAGGCAGATGGAACCGAGAGGAGGCAAAGGCCCGGTTAGAGCTTAGGCCTTTCAAATTTGTAGACTTTTTTTTTTGATACCTAAATGCTAGATGGCGGTTCCCTTTAAAAGCATGGTGCTGACGAAGACCACACGCGGCCAGGTAATGGGAAGCCAAGGGTCCCGCGCCAGTGCCGCTCCGTGTCTTCCTGCAGCTGCTTGTTTTCCATCTACACAGTCACGGGGATTGGGGCGCTTTCTAGCTGATTGTCATTTGTGACATCGGGGCAGCTTCTCATCCCTCACTTCCAGTATTACCGATAACTACTATGGACAGGGTACTTACTGAAGGCGAGCCCGGGGCTAAGTGCTTTCCCTATGGGAAGGTAATTCATCTTCATGTCGCTCCTAGAGGTAGGGGCCGCACTTCCCCTGTTCAGCTGTGCACGTGTCCTGGAGAGCCGAATGCGACTTTGCTCCCTCCAGGCATGTGCCTTCTCTCCACCAAGCTCTGCAGACTCCATCTGGGGTCAGAGTCTGTAAATTGCCCCTGGGGAAGGGATGGCATGGACGATTTCCATAGGTCCACTGTATATAAAACAGTGCTGTTATAACAGAGTGAGCTTTCAAAGTCCTAAGGGGGGCCTGACCAGTGGCGTAGCAGGCTCCTCTTCAGCGACCTGGGGTTTGCAGGTTTGGATCCCAGGCAGGAACATAGCACTACTTGTCAAACCATACTGTGGTGGCATCCCACATAAAATAGAGGAAGATTGGCACAGATGTCAGCTCTGTGACAATCTTCCTCAAGCAGAAAGAGGAAGGTTGGCAACAGATGTTAGCTTAGAGCCAAACTTCCTCACACCCAAAAAAGAAAAAATCCTAATGAACTTGAATATTCAAATTATTTAATCTTCGTTTCGGTTTGTTTACCTGCACACTACTTCAGTTTCGGCCCCCTTCCTGTGGGCTAACCCAGTGGTGTGGTGGCATCACTAAGCCCAGATAACTGTCATGTTAACAGACATGAGACTGGGTTAGCCGAGCGAATCTCGTGTGGGGCTAGTGGCAGCAGGAGTCCTCAAAGAGGACAATGTGTGTCTGACTTTTCTCCTAACCCCTGGCTCTTCATAATTCACTGTGTGGGGGCAAACGACCCACTGAATCTGCTGTGGGTGGGTTTAGGGCAGAGAGACGTCCGTGATCGTGAAGTGGTTTTTCCGGGGGACACTCTGCACTCGCCTGTGATACTCCTTTTGAGCCATCCCTATAGTTTTTCTCAAATATGATGATGAGGAAGCGGGTAATCTGCTTTGTCTGTCACTCAGATGACACTGTATGGTGCTGCCTCACTTCGGGATGGTGGCCGATTGAAAGGTCTTACACATTTTGTCTTTTATTTCTGCTCTTTAAGGATTACTTAAAGGACTGGTGGGAGGGGAGAAAGGGGAGTTAGTGTTTAATGGTCAGAATTTCAGTTGGGAAGATGAAAAAGTTCTGGAGATGGATAGTGGTGATGGTTGCATAACAATGTGAATGAATATCCTTAATGCCACAGAACAGTACACTTAAAAATGGGTAAGATGAGGGCCAGCCCAGTGGCGCAGCGGTTAAGTGCACTCGTTCCGCTTCTCGGCAGCCCAGGGTTCGCCTGTTCAGATCCCGGGTGCGGACATGGCATCGCTTGGCAAAAGCCATGCTGTGGTAGGTGTCACACGTATAAAGTGGAGGAAGATGGGCATGAGTATTAGCTCAGAGCCAGTCTTCCTCAGCAAAAAGAGGAGGCTTGGTGGCAGATGTTAGCTTAGGGCTAATCTTCCTCCAAAAAAAAAAAAGGGTAAGATGGTGAATTTTGTGTTGTGTGTATTTTACCACATTAAAAAACGTGAGTCATTTATTTGCATTTTGGTCAAGTTGAAATCAGGAGGTTGTTCTAAAAGACTGTTTTAAGTTCATTGACATCTCTTTGTCTTAATTTTGAATTGCTAATTCTTTGTGGAGGACAATTTTTAATCATGGAATTCAGGACTGGACATGAGACTCAGTAACTTCTGTGCGTGCAAGTCTTTCAATTGGGAATTTCCAAAGTGTGAAGCACAGACCGTCACCCAGGCCCTGACACTCCTCACAAAGATGGAGGTTGAGATGAGATTCACTGAGAGCCCCGAGGGCCTGCTCCTATGTTGTCTGATTGCTAGGACCTTAATAGGATCAGAATAGGTTTATTTTTATTTCTAAATTAAATGCCAATGATTTAATCAGGACTCATTGTCCGTCCCCGAGTCTCATAAATCCTCTATTATTTGCTGATGCAAAATAAGCTCTCCCCCCGTTCAGCTGAACTGCACACACATCACTCATGTTGACACCATGCAGTGCTGCAGCAGCTCGTGGCGCCAGGTTCGGGGTGACCCTAACGAGTGATCGCATGCTGCCCTGTGCCCCCACAGCAGGAGCTCATCGAGAGCATCAGTCGCAAGCTGCACGTGCTCCGGGAAGCCCGGGAGAGCCTCCTGGAGGACATCCAGGCCAACAGCGTGCTTGGGGACGAGGTGGAGGCCATCGCCAAAGACGTCTGCAAACCCAATGAGTTTGACAAGTTCCGGATGTTCATCGGGGACCTGGACAAAGTGGTGAACCTTCTGCTGTCACTGTCAGGCCGCCTGGCCCGGGTGGAAAACGCCCTCAATAATTTGGACGACAGCACTTCTCCTGGTGATCGGGTAGATACAAACTCTTCTGACCTGGCTATGGCGGGCTGGGGACGTGGGAAGGTTTTCCTTGGGGTGTTGTGAGTTAATGCCTGGAAGCCTCGCAGAGCTCCTGCGGCAGCCTGTCCAGTGAAAGATGCTTTCGAAATGTTGTGGGCTCTCTCCTCCCTTTCCTTGTAATGGCGGGAAGAAGGTCCCGCCAAGGAGCAGTGAGTTGGAGCCATTGTCATTGGACGGCAGGGCTGCTGTGATCCTCAAGAAGAACTGGGGATTCTTTTTGACATCTTTTCATAGATTCCCATTGATCATTACTAATAATTGTCTCTTCCTAGAAAATAGACTTTTTAACTTTTCTTGATCAAGTAAGTGCTTAAATGGAGCATCCTCTCCCTGGCAAATTGTAAGCACTCAGTGATAATGATATTTATTATTACTCCTGCTTTTACTTAACAAGAGTGCAGATAGCAGTCTAGAAAGAGTCAAAGGACTTGCCTAACTTTTCTCCCTCTCCTGAGGTGTGCAACTTGGGACATTTCTTAGTGGGTCTATTTTTCAGTTTTTTCACATGCAAAATATGGAAAATAATATCTACCTTATTGGCTTTACTTCATAATTATTGGTAAGACATCGTAAGTTCTCTAAAAGGGGAGCAGAAAAGGCCCCCTCCCCCTTGCTCCGGAGGAGGTGGTTTCCGGTTACGTGGAAAGATCTTAGAGAGCGTAGCTTTGGGGCTGTTGCTCTTCTGTGCTGGGCCAAGTCGTTAGTAACCATCACTGAACATACTGTATAAGGGTTTAAAAGGTAACTGGGGCTTTTGACCCTGATCCCCTTGGGTTATGTTCATATTCCATTTTGCTGTTTTTGCCATCTTTGCCAAATTTATCTGAGAGAACTTAGGAAAATAACATGAACAGGAAAGAGAGACTTGCTTGTGCATAATTGAAATATCAAATTCTCAAGTACTGATTTAAATGAAAAAATAGTATTGCCTTTGCATCTCAGCTCTTGTTTCATCCATCTTTCCTTCCCTGTGTGTGGAACCGACAAAGGCTTATGTAGAATTTCAGGGAGATAGAAGGAAGCGCAGCCCTGGGGACCATGCACGCGGTCCTTCTGGGGACCAGACTCCGTAGCCCTCACTACGTCCTCAGTCTGTTTTGGAGATGAGGCGTGGGCAGGCTGTTATCCCCTTGGCTGTGCATAGCTGATGTGGCTTCACCTTCCTGGACCCGAAGGGAGTGTTCCATTGCCCCGGCCAGCTGCAGCGCAGGGGTCCGTCTCCAGTGTAGCTGGCGCTGGATGAGAATCGGTGTCGGGCAGCTGAGGCTGGGGAAGCTAAGGTTTTCAGACAGACTTGGTGACGAGCTAAAAGACGTGGAGTCGGGTTTTAGAAGGCTTCCTCCATCTTTCCAGGTAGAAAGTGAACATGTGGGCAGATGCGGACGCCTGAAGTCCTCCCCTCCAATCTGCAGCTTCCAGTCACCAGTGAGCCGGCTGATTTTAATAGCCTGAACCGCATTTCTAGAATCAGTTAACGTCTTTTCCCTTTTGGTTGGGATGCATGGCTTGGCCTTGCCTCTTTCCATGAAAACCCACTGTATCTTTGTTTCACAAGCACCTGGAGATCAAGGTGTCCCACAGAAGTGGGCGGGTTGTGTTTCAGAAGCTGAAAGGTTGTGCGGTCGGGCACTTCCGAAAGCCACACGCCGACAGCAGTTTGTTTTCAGCCACTGTTTAGGCACAGTAACAGCCCATCTCTACCGAGCTCTTTCTGTGTGTCGGCACTTTGCAAAGTGCTGCTGCATCGTGGACGCTCATGCGTGGCCAGTGGTAAGCGTCCGTGGCTGAGCCGCAGAGCTGTGGGATAAGTGAGTGGCTGTCCTGGCGCTCACATAAAAATCACACGGAGGAAAGGAATTGCTGGCATCCCCCAGCTGACAGTTGGAGACATCTAATGCACTCCTCTCTCCTTGCTTAGTTCTCATTAAACTTGGAGACTGTGGGGAAAGCAGATGCGTGCTCTGCAGGCAGAGAGCGCGACTGAGTGCTGCGTTTGGAGAATAGGGTTGTCTGTGTCCCCCAGAGCAGGAGCCTTGGAAGGAGCTAGGGAACCTACCCCACGGCCCTGCATCTCACTCCTCCCTCCCACTGCTCCCTCCTCGTCCTCTTCTACAAGTCCACTCACAGGCTCCTTCTTCTGCCAGAACGCCTTAGAAATCCTGCCCTGGAATTTCTTTAGAATCTATCCCTTTGCCAACTTTGCCGTGATATTGACACAAAAAGGCCATTAACACACGTAGAATCTCTAAGTCCTTTGCACCTTTTGAGCATCTCGAAATTCTGTAGTTTTTAGTTCCTTGATTTCTCTTCTGCTCGTCATGGCTATTTCTGCTGGCCGTTCGAGGCTGGTGGGAGGAATGGGAGGTGGGAGATGTACTTACGGGAGGGCTGGGGCCAGAGCCTGCCGCAGCCACAGGTGCGTTGTGCCCATGTCCCCAGTATTTCTGTGCCGATCCTATTGGGTCTCTGGTCCCTAACTTTGGTGGCATCAGGGTCTCCACGGGACCAGCTCCCAGAGTTGCTGGGGTTTTCAAGGCATTGGCCAGAGCCCCTGCTTTAGCCCTGGTCCTCAGCGGCTTGTTTCTCTCTCCACAGCAATCGTTGCTCGAGAAGCAGCGGGTCCTCATCCAGCAGCACGAAGACGCCAAGGAGCTCAAAGAGAACCTGGACCGCCGGGAGCGCATCGTGTTCGACATCCTGGCCAGCTATCTCAGCGAGGAGAGCCTTGCAGACTATGAGCACTTCGTGAAGATGAAGTCAGCCCTCATCATCGAGCAGCGGGAGCTGGAAGATAAAATACACCTGGGTGAAGAGCAGCTGAAGTGCTTGTTTGACAGCCTTCAGCCCGAAAGAGGCAAATAAGAAGGCCGTCCCTGGTGGAGGCCGGAAACCGGGCCTTCGAGCCGCATTCCTGAGGATGCAAGTGAAAACCCCAGCCTGTATTTATATCTCGTAGAGAGACTCCTCCGATAGCGAAATGGCTGTTAGAAGAGCAATAACTTCCGTGTCTTTGGGATGATTTATTTAATTTTTCAGTTTCCCTTTTGAATGCTGAGCAGAGTGGCTCGCTGTTAGCCATTTTCCTTTCCCAGTAACCACTCGTGGCACTAGGCTCCAGTGGACGGCAGGTTTCCACAGTATAGACTGTGGGCTCCGGTCCCGTAGTGCATGCAAGTGGCCATTTTGAGCAGTAGGTCTGCCCTTCCTCCCGTCTTCACATGCTTGAACCAACCACTCAGGAAGCAACCAAGTGAGTCTTGTAGGTGCATGAGGGGGAAACCCTGGCGCACATCTTTTGTGATCCATCCAATGCATAGGCCGCCATGTTTTATCTCTGTCCGTCCAACGGTGTGGAGCATTCATCGTCTGTATCATATAATGATGTTCTCTGACTTGGTAAAAATCACGATGATGATGATAATTTATTAACATTTTGGAAAGGTGAATAGTTTCCAAATGGTTAAAAACCAACTGTGAAATGAACAACCTACATGTTGGGTTCACTCATTCTAAAATTGCCACTTAAAGAAATAGTGTGCATGCTTTAAAACACTCACACACAAAGCAAACAGAGAGCTTTAGTCCTTCTCACCTGACATCACGGGTCAGATGTTTTCCTGCAAAGTGAAGTTACTTGGGGAAAATGTGTCTAGTAGTAATGTGCTTGCTAGATATTTGTTTCACGAGACCAACAAGATATTTCTTAAGTTACTTTTTCCCCAGAACATGTATTTTGTGTGTGTGGTCATTAATGATAATTGGCTGCTTTTCTCTCTTTTGCCTCTTTAAATCTGTTGCCATGCCATGAGGGCCACATTCTGTTTACTGTAAGAAGCCTCGCTCTGGTATTTCAGAGGTCCCATGGGCTGTGTAACTCCTAAACCTGATCTTTCTGTGCCACAGAGTTTCTGTGCTCTGCTTACTGGTTGAAATTGCAAGATTCTAAAGAAAGTCTATTTACTAAAAAAGCATTGTCATGCTGTCAATTTCCAGTGGACTTGGAGAAAATATTTGCAAATCACATACATGAAAAGGATTTTTATCCAAAATGTACAACGAACTCTCAAAACTCAACAGTAAGAAAACAGACAGCCCAATTAAAACAGGGGCGAAAGACTTAAATAGAAACTTCACCAAAGAGGATATATGCATGGCAAATAAGCACATGAAAAGATGTTCAACTGCCAACGGCTGCGTTATGACTGTCTGATTATCTAATCCTTGAAGGGCCGGTGTCTGTCTTCACAAATGCTCATCTGATTAAATGCATGCTTAATGGTGCGAGAACCCCTCAGATGACGTCACGTTGAAGTAATATTCGGACAGTTTGATCGAGGGATCATTTTAATCTTCATTCTCCCTTATTTCCATAAAAGAAGTTTTCCAACAGGCAGGAAAACGTCCCTTTGTCAGCAGTGACCACCGCCTTACCGAAATACACACTCACACGCAAATGTCTTAAAGGACAGGAGTCCACGCTGCGTGAGCCCGAGGGGTGAGCTGGACTCATGAGCTACAGTGTTGACGTCGGTGCACTGCGCAGCGTGGTCCACACTGGCGGACTTCAGTGAGGCTGGCAATAAATGTTCTTTTTGGCAGCCCACCCACGCCAAAAAGATAAATGCCTTTTCAAAAAGTTTGTATTCCTATGAAATTAAGCTATTTCTGACTTGAAAAATCCCTGTTCTGCCTGTGAAGTGTCCTCCTCCTTTCCACCGGGTGTAGTCACTTGCTGTGAGGACTGGTCGCATCAGAAGAGGTGGAGCTGGCTGTCCATGGACCTCTGTCTTTCTCCCTTGGGGAGACAACCACAGTAATTTCAGTGGATTTTGTTTTTAATTTAGATAAAGCTTTTATCTGTGATTCTTTCCCCTCAAATACAGTATTGTGATCATTTTGATGATGTGTATGTAAAATGTGAGTAATAGAGTTTGTGTGTCTGTCCCCAGCCTTTAGATGTCCTTCCCGCATACGTAGCAACGTAGAGTGCTAGTCCCCCTTTCCAAAGCACGTGTAATCACCACTGTCCTGTCTGTCCCCCTGTTTGCCTCTTCAGTGTCTGGTTAGCGGGACCCAAAGATTGCAGTGAGTCGATGTACATAGCTTTGTATATAGTCATATTATTGCAGATAAAAGCAATCTGGTGCTCATGTTTGCCCTCGGCTTCAGGTGGTCGCTCATGCCTCACCCCGTGTCCTAGCTCAGCTATGGAATGCTCTGTGTAGCGAGATGTCAGTCAGGGGGCTTGCCTGTGGCTTTTATCCTGCAGTCCACCATGGAAAATGTGTGCAGATGTCCTGCTCGACACTGGCCACTTACCTCTCGATGGATCATCCTGCTTGACTTTAACAAAATAAATAGTGTCTTTGAGTGAATGGAGCATGTCTTTGATTTACCTCCATGACATCTTTTTTTAGTCAGAATATTATCACCATATGTCAGATTCTTAAACCGTTGATAAACTGTGGACTGGATTCTATGTATGTCTGTGTGTAGCTGTTTGTGCCAGTCCGGTTAGGGCCAATGAGTTTGCAGTGGACATGGAGGTGTGAAGAACTGGGGCCGTTGATGGACTCCATCCCCCACACCGGTGTCTGCTACTACTGAGTAGCACTAAGGCGTCCTGGACCCTGGAGCCAAGCCCCTTCTGTCACTTCCTAGTCATGTGGCTGTGAGCAAGCGACTTAGCCTCCCCAAGCTTCAGTTTCCCCTTTTGTCATTGGAGAAGAGCTGGTGTGAGATCAAGTGAGCTGATGTGTGTTCCCCTGCTGAGAGCTCTCGCCTGCTGGGGAAGAGTGGTCGCCCTGAGTAGTGGTGTCGTCATTCTGGTCTGGCCCCGGGGGAACCCTGCCCTGCCTCGGAGCGAATCTGTCCAACTACCCAAGAGACCTGATTTCTTTTGGTGGGTAGGATTAGAAACGCTTCTACTCTGGAGCAGATGGTTTGTGGGAGCTGAAGCTGCAATTGAGAGGGAGGGATTCTTTCTAATAAAAATTCATCAAAATTAGAATATTTAGAATGGGAAAAAATTCACACAAATGAGAGATTTTAAAAAGTGGACAAATATGCATTTTGTTTTTGGCTTCTACCAGGCTGCTTCAGCTTGTCTAATTTGCATTCCTAAATGATCACGAAATTAATACACAAGGGCAATTCAAATGCAGCTGCAGCCTGCTGCTGGGATGTTGGGCTGTGCAATTGTGTGATCTGCTGATCCTGTGCCACCTTCCATGACCCGCTGATGACGGCGTACAGGATTTTGTCCCCGCGCACTCGTGTGCTCATGCTGATGTACTGCATTGGTGCCAGTTTCATGCATGCTTTGGCGTGGGCCCATCAGGTTTCTTCAGGATGAGCTGTGTTGGGTACACTTGAGACATGGAGACCCGTCAGACACGTGCTCCGTTTTTAGACCTCTTTGCTGTCCTGCCACAGGTCTGTACCCTACAAGCACAGGCATTCTGAGTATGGTTTTTTTTTGCACTTCCCATTAAAACCAATGCACGGTGTGTTTATTCTTGTATCTGCTGCGTCTTGAGTCACAGCGACCCACATAAACATAGCCCACTAAACCAAAGCTGTGTTATCCCCACTCTGCTGCCTCTCAGCCAATCCCCAAAATGCTCATGGCCTTTCAGTGCTGCCTGAGACAGGACAGAAGGAGTGAGATGGAGAAGAAGGCAGAGATGAAAGGGATGGTAGACTTAACTGAAGGCAATGAAATAGCTTGCTTTGGCAAATTTCACCAAAGCAGAAGGCTGTGGGAGCGCGTTGCTGGAGCCCGCCACCCCCCACCCCCCAGGACCTTGGAAGGTCCCTGCCGTGAGAAGCCCTGAAGTGTAAGCTTTATGAGCTCCCACCAAGTAGCGTTATGCAACCAGCAATGGCAACGTTGAGAGGCGTCCCTGCACAGTTGACAGCACCAGCAGTGAGACCTATCGATGTCACATGTAGGGGGTGCTCTAAGGACACAACCTCTCAAAGTGAGGGAATTTTTTTTTTTTTTTTTTTGGCTGGGAAAGATTTGCCCTGAGCTAACATCTGTTGCCAATCTTCCTCTTTTTTTTTTTCCTCCCCAAAGCCCTAGTATATAGTTGTACATTCTAATTGTCAGTCCTTCCAGTTCTTCTATGTGAGCTGCCGCCACAGCATGGCTACTGACAGACAAGTGGTGTGGTTCTGCGACCCGGAGCTGAACCTGGGCCGCTGAAGTGGAGCGTGCTGAACTTTAACCACTAGGACATCAGGGCTGGCTGGAGAAATTCTTTTAAAAAAAAAAAAACCAAAAACACATTAGTTCTCTTAAAAGATGCCAAAGTGATGAGAGAGAAACCAGAGGGGCTGCTCAAAGTCAGAGGGAATGAAGGCAACCTAACAACAGAATGCAACACGTGATCTCGGATTGAATCCTGGGGCAGAAACAGGACATTAGTTGGACAATTGATGAAATTTGAATAAGGTCTGTAGATCATAGTATTTTGTCAGTGTTAATTGCTTGATTCTGATCTTTGTACTGTGGTTATGTGTGTTTCCATTTGAGAAGTCTGGGTGGCGAATATCAAGATGTTTGTGCTATTTGTAATTTTTTCTAAATGAAATTACTGCAGAGTGACGTTAAATTTTTTTTTTCAATTTTAAAGGAGGTTTTCCTTTTGCCTCATCCAAAGACCCTTTTCTCGCATGTTGTCGTAGCTCTAGCACTTTCATCAGGCGTCTTGAGCTTTAAAGTGGAGTTCCAATGTTTTCTCATAAACAGAATGCAATATAACCTGACTCAGCATTGGGTCATGCCTGCGTGTGTTTCGGACCCCAGCACCTGTAACGCTTTATTGAGTTTGAGTTTCCATAAGACACTTGCCAGCTAAACCTTAAGCCCTCAAGGGTGGGTGCCGTGCTTATTTGTGCCACCTGGTACAAGTGGGTGACTAATTTATGCAAGATGATTAAACGAGTGAATAAGTAAAGCAGTGGGGCGGGATCCGGATTCCTGAGCAGCACTTTCCTCCTGAGCGTAGTGTATTGAGCACCCGCTATGTAGCAGGCAGGTGCGGTCACGTGGTGGAATCCGTGCTGACATGATGCACTGAGGGCTCAGGGAGTCACAGATAACTGTTAGTGGAAAAGAAACACAAGGATTGCTTTAGCTGCCTCAAAGTTAGGCCTCAGTTTTGCTTCCTGCACCTCTCCCCCTTCCCCTTCTCCCGTCAGCCTCTTCAATGGCGGTGTCCGGAGAGGAGAGTTGGGTGTGTCACAGGGACGGGACATTGGGGGAAACCCAACGGGAAATGCAGGTTTCTTTTTTTTTGTAAAGATTGGCACCTGAGCTAACAACTGTTGCCAATCTTACTTTTTGTTTTTGTTCTGCTGCTTCTCCCCAAATCCCGCCAGTACATAGCTGTGTTTTAGCTGTGGGTCCTTCTAGTTGTGGCATGTGGGATGCCACCTCAGCATGGCTTGATGAGTGGTACCATGTCCATGCCCAGGATCCCAACCAGCAAAACCCCGGGCCACCGAAGCAGAGCGCGCAAAATTAACCACTCGGCCACAGGGCCAGCCCCCGCAGGTTTCTTCTGAAGCATGCCTAGTGTCATTACTCTCAACCCTGAGACGAGGAAGGAGGTAGAACTCACGCCAGGGCAGGAGCCGAGGAGGGATGCCGGTTCTCAAGGGCACCAATCAGGAGCAGCCCCTGCAATCTAAGTGCTGGAAGGGCTCAGAATAGCCTGCTCCAGTGAAATGCTCCAAGGAAAACGCCTTTCCTTTTGCGCTGTCCAGTGAGCTTGGGCAGCCCTGCTGTGTGTTCCCCTCCTCCAGACTCTCCGGGCGTGGTACCATTCCCAAGGCAGCCTGCGATAAAGACCCTGTGAACTCGTCATTCGGGCGCCCAAATAGATCTGAGCTTGGATTGCTTCCACTCGTGTTTAAAAGTTTAATACCAATGAAAATGCCAACGCATCTTGAGAGACACAGTTCCAAGGCTGGCAACTGCTGTTGACAATGGTGGACTGAGTGTTGGCTGTAAGGGGCTCCCGTCCCCTGTGATGGAACAGAAGGCCCTATGCCTGTCTGTCTCTCCATATAAAACCATGGTCTTTAAATTTGATTTTGTATAAATTTTTACCCAAAAACCTTTAGCGTGATAGAAAATATGCAAAAACATAAATACATGTATGCAAGTATATGTGTGTGTACCCTCAGTGAACAGTATATATTTAACCACTGTTTGTGTTTAACCACATACTTGGCACTTGGACTCTTTGTGAAGAGCCACCTACCAATCACGACACAGCCAGCGTTAGATCGTGGGTCCCCTGGCTGCACTCTCCCCCCCGTCCCTTACTCCCGTCCCTGTGGCCCTGCATTCCCTATGGCCATCTCCACCCTGTGGCATGCCGACTGCCCCCAATTAGCTCAGGAGACATGGAAGCCTGTTAGGCCCTTACCTGTTAGGCCATTTCATCCCTGGAGTAGTCACTGTCCTTCCTGTACCGGGAGGGATGTGAGGCTCCTCAGAGGGACGTTGCCGCGGAAGCTAGCATGCTCACATGTCTCCCCCCCACCCCCCGCCCCTCTTCCTTCTCTCTCTCCCTTTTTCCTGTTTTTTTTTTAAAGGAATGGGATTATGCTAATTACATATTTTTGAAATCAGCTTTTTATTTAGCAACATTGGGCACTTTTTTCCTTAATTCTTCAACATAATGTTGAATTTCTGTGTAATATTCCATTATAAGGATATAAGATGATTTACTGAACATATTCTCTAACTGGGGTTTTAGTATTTTTCCTAGTTGTCCCAGTTGTAACCTCAGTTTTAAAGTTCATGGGGGGGGCCGCCGCCCAGGGTTTCCCCGGTTCCAATCCTGGGCATGGACATGGCATCGCTCATCAAGCCATGCTGAGGCGGCATCCCACATGCCACAACTAAAAATACACAACTATGTACTGGGAGGCTTTGGGGAGAAAAAGGGAAAATAAAATCTTAAAGTTCATTGGGAATGTTTTCATGTACATCTTTATACATATCTGCACATTTGCTTGTGATAAATTCCTTATCATAGAGGCAGTGGAAGCAAAGGACTCTGGAGTTTTGACTTTTGTATAAAATTTAGTCCCAAGTGCCGTCTAGCTTATGAGAATGTGCCTTCCAGAAGCCCCATTTGAAGCTATCCTCGATCGTAGCAGGCCAACTTCTCACAAGTGGGGAATTAGATTCCATCCTAGCCTGCTCCCGCGTACCATGTTCCCACAGCCTGTGATCTAAGACTTCCCAGATGGAGGTCACTCTAGTTGCGGGTCATATCCACAGACTCAGGGCGTCTTTCCTACTGTGTTCGTTGTCAGTGGTCTTTCACAAATAGATCTTACCCACGTGGGTGCCACTTCTGCTAACACCTGCATGCATACGTTGCTTTTGCTTTTTTAAAAATGTCATTATCCTACCGAGGGTGAGCACAATGAAGTGTATTCAGGAACTGATAAACAGTAACGTACACCTGAAATCACACAATATTATAAACCATTATAATCCCAATTACTTGAAAAAAATTTTTAATAAAATAAAAATGTCATCTCCAGGTGATATGGGTTAGACACTATTTCTGAGGGACAAGAGAGAAAGTGATTAGGAGACAGGTCTGAATTGGTTAGATCTTGACAGTGGACTCCGATGGTCCGTTAGTAAACATACCCGCCCCTGGGCGGTGGGGGGCCGTGGCAAAAGAAAAGCTGATAGACAAAAAGGATACAAATGTAGAAAAGAAACCAAAGACAGTGCCAGGATCAAGAAAAGAATGGGTGCCGTCATGGTGTTTAGGACCTAGCAACTAAGAATTTTGAAGGTGAGGACAATGAGTGGTGGAATATGGTAACAGTAGAAGGCTGAGGAGAGGGCCTTGGAATCGGACGCCAGGCCCACAGTGTGGCTGAGAACTCGTATCTGCCCAGACTGAGGAGCCAGCCAGGAAGAGTCGAGGATGTCCCAGAGGAGCTGTGCGCGCATCCAACGGGCTGGCCTGGTGAGCTAGCTGCCTCGTCCCTGACGCCCGTTCCTTTGGAAGCCACGTCACTGGTGAGTGGAGGCTCACTTCTTATTGGTTGTGTATTTACTATGGTAAAATAGTCATAAAATTTATCATTTTACCATTTTTTTTAATGTGTGCAGTTCAATGGACATTCACACTGTTGTGCAACCATCCCCACCATCTCCGGAACTTTTTCATCTTCCCAAACTCAGACTCAGTCCCCATTAAACACTAACTCCTCAATCCCCCCTCTCCTGGCACCCACCGTTCTACTTTCTGTGTCTGTGAATTTGACTACTTTATGTATATCATACAATATTTGACCTTCCGTGTCTGGCTATTTCACTTAGCATAATTAGTCATCCACGTGGTAGCATGTGACAGAAGTTCCTTCCGTCTTCAGGGTGAATAGTATTCCCTTGTACGGATAGACCACATTTTGTCTATCCATTCATCCATGGATGGAAAACTGGGTCCCTTCTACCTTCTGGCTTTCGTGAATCATGCTGTTATGAACATGGATGTACAAAAGTCTGTTCGACTCCCTCGTGCGGCCGGAATCCAGAAGCACTGCCTCAGTTTCCTTCTCCTCCTCCCCTCTCAGTCCAGGGGATGAGGTGCCCGTCCGCTCCCTGGTGACTCTCCTACCACGAGCTTTAATTGCGCTTGCTCCCACTTTACCCCCAAATGGTGTGTGGTAGGAGGATGGAATCTGCGGCCAGCTGCCTGTCTCCACCACCTACTTCCTGTGTGACTTTAGGCAAGTTACTCAACCTCTCTTTTCTCAGTACTTTCACCTATAAAACAAGGGGAAGAATCCTGCCCGCCCAGTAGGTTCCCCAAGACTCTTTCAGGGTGCTCAGTGCAGGGGTGGGGTCCACAAGGTCAAAACTATTTTCATAATGCTACTAAGATGGTAGATGCTTTTGTCACTTGCATTCTCTCATGAGTGTACAGTGGAGTTTTCTAGAGGCTCCATGACATTTGGTGTCAAAAAGCTGAATGCAGAAGTACATGTGACTCCAGTCACCTTCTGTTAAGCCTGACATTAAAGCGATTCGCAGAACGATAAAAACGATGCCCTCTAAATTTTGTTTGATTTCGAACATATACTTTTCATAAAAATCCTTATGTTAATATGTAGTGGTATATTATATGAATTAATCTAAATTTCTCACTTTTAATTTCTAATATGGTAATATCTGTAGATGCAACCTGTGTGAACGAAAACTCTGGGGTCCTCAATAGTTTTTTTTGTTTTTATTTTTTCCTATTGTGGTAAACTCTACATAACATAAAATTGCCCATTTTAATGATTTTTAAGTGTACAGTTCACTGGCATTAAGTGCCTTCTTATTGCAGGTCAACCATCACCACGGTGCATCATCCACCTCCGGAACTTCTTCCATCATCCCAAACCGAAACTCCATCCCCGTTAAACAATAGCTCCCCACCTCAATAACTGTTAAGTGTAAAGGGAGGAGACTTTTGGTCCTGAGACCCAAGCGTTTAGGAACTGCCTGGAGCGGTGCCTGGCCCCCGGAAGTGCTCTGGAAGGATGAGCTGTTCTCCACCGCGTGCTCCCAGGCGAGAGGCTGCCTCTGAGCCGGCTCTGTGGGGAATCACTGCGGCTGCTCACCTTCGATGGCGGGTGGCGGCGTCGGCGGGGCCTTGCTCCGCTCCGGTGCTCCCCCTCCTCTCAACTCACGAACTGGTTAACCTTGAAAACGAATGTTTCTGGCAAAAAATGAAAACCGGGGAAAAGGGGATGTACCTCCAGGGCCCTACCCCAGTCCCGCTGCCCAGAGATAATTTTTAACTATTTCCAGCACCCAAAAGTTCTCTATTCATATGCAAACATGTTTTGTATATTCATATGTATTATGTTTATTCATATATAAACATATATTATATGTTTTCCTTAATTTTCACTGAAATGGAAACGTTTCTAATACAAACTCTACTGCACCACACATTTTTACTAAGCAAGGTATTCTGAATAGCTTTCCTTACCAGCACCCACCTCTCCCTCCTGCCTCCCTCTCCCTGATGGGGCCCCCACACCAGTGGTGATAAGGAATGTGCAAAGACCTACCGTGGACAGGACATTGCCCTCCCATCCCATACCTGCTCCCCCTCACAGACACTGCCCCCAGTGGGTCCAGGTGCTGTCCTTCTAGAATTTGCCGTATATATTCACGTGCATGGAAAGTAGATACATCTTTTCAGATTTGCACAGAAGAGACTATGAAATACACATTATTCTGCAACATTTACCACCAGTGAAGGATCTTTCTACTTCAGCGCATGCATGCGCGTGTATATGGGGGGGGGGGGGGACGGGTGGAGTGGGGGGAGGCGGTGTACTTATCTCAAACCTGGATCAATACAGCAGCCTCATGGCTAGTTTCCTGGTCCCACTGTTGCCCCCTACAGGCGATTCTCTGCCATGCAGCCTGCCAAGCTGGGCAAGCGGAACTGCTCACCCTCTTTTATGCATGGACCTCTTTAACTTCTAGTGAAGCCTATGGACTCCCTCCCAGAAAAGATATTTTAAAATGCATTTTTAAAATGCCCAGGGTTACAATTATCTGGAAACAATTATCAAAGAAAATTTTTAAACGCGGACATGGTAACTTATGCCACCACTCTGTCTGCAGCGCCTACAGTCTTCCGTTCCTTCTCTTCCAGCTCGCATTCTGGCATGCGTTGACACAACTGCTCCCTTGCAGATTGCCTGCCCCCTTCCCTCTGAGAAAACCACCTCCCTCAGCAGACGCATGTCACTCTAGGTCCTTGTTCCATTGGGTTTTTCAGCAAGAGGACTGAAGCTGGAATGCACAGCTGTTCTGAAGAATCTGCCGATTTGAGTTGAGGACAAAGTGACTTCTCTAATGTGACTTTGCTGGCACCAAAGGACGGCTTACCCTTAGGACAGAGTCTCTCGTCCCCATCCCTGGGATGTCAGAGGGCGCCCATGACTTATGAATTTTCATGTCCTTCAAAGCGTTATTCTCCTGAACGTAGCATACTAAAGGTGGGTGGGCTTGAATTGTCCCATGTCCCATTGCAACAGAATGAGCCGACTTCTAAGTCTGTGCCAGCTGAGGTGGTGTGCCATCTCTTTCACACACTTGAATTTCCTCCTTTAATAACACGTTTGGTTACCTTGAACATTTCAATCCTTCCTACCAGCCCATGTGCTCCAGTAGCCAGCTCCCAACTGGCAGTTCCGGCGGTCATCTCAAAAGAAGCGCTCATGGTCAAGTAACTCTCTCAACCCGACTGCCTGATTCCTGCCAATGTGCCATTTAAATTGTTCCTTCAAAATAACTTGTTCAGGATTGTCTGGCCAAAGAGAATGATCTTTATAAATATGACATCTGCCAGGAACGTTCTGGCCATGAGAAGGGATTTCTGGTATCAGTCTGGAAAGATCACCCATTCTGTCCTTCCCTCCCCCCGGGGCCCCCCCCCCCCCCCCATAACAAAGTCTGGACCATGCGATGCTCTCCACGAGCTGGCTTCAGAGTCTGCTCTGCCTCACTCTCTACCCATCTCTATGCTTATATCACTGCGCCCCCATTTCTCTCCAGTTAAAAAAGTGATAGACTTTTTACCTTGAAACATAAAAAGAAAAGAAAAATCACTAGTAATCCCAATAGTCAAGAGGCATCTTGTTTTGTATCTTTCCAGCGTATTTGATGATGGGCAAAAGTAAGATCATACTACATCCTTACAGTTTACTATCTGCATTTTAACTTCAACCCGCCATGGACGTTTCCCCACATTACTAAACATTCTTCTGCTTTTATATCTGCTAAGTATGACGGTGAATGAATTCCTTTAATACCTTCTAGATGTTACAGTGTATTTATGTACCAGAATTAATCTTCCATTGCTTCACAACTTTCGTGAAGTCTTTTTATTTTTCTTCTTTCAAACAATCATGCTCATGACGGAAATATACAAAAATATTGAACAACCAGATGTCATTAAAAAAAATCATAGTCTGAGATTAGAAACGCCATGTTGAGTGAAAGAACCAGTCACACAGAATGCCTACTGCGTGATTCCTATTTTGGAAAACAGGCAGGATTGAACCAGGGATGCATGCTGAAGTGGAAAATAGTAAAGATGAGGAAGGAAGTGGTGACACTGTCTGTCTTAACTGAGCAGTGGCTCCTTGGGTATTTGCCCTGGGATAGTCACTGAGCTAAACACTTTGATTATGTGCGCTTTTCTATATGTATGTGATTCTTCATGATAAAAATAGCTTTAAAAATTCACAATCCTTCTAATCCAGTTAAAAACTAGCATCTAGACTGCCAGTTCTATTCATATCCATGACTACATTGCACGCACTGTTTTGTGACTTGCTGTTTGTACTTGATATATTGTAAGCATCTTCCTTTTGGTCACGTTATGTTTTAAGAGCACTAGGATGGCTGTAATCAAAAAAACAAAGTACCAAATGTTGGAGAAGATATGGAGAAACTGGAACCTTTGTACATTGCCAGTGGGGATGTAAAATGGTACAGCCACTTGGGGAAACAGTTTAGCAGTTTCTGAAACGTTAACCACATGAGCCTCTAAGCCCCCAGCTAGATAGCTCCACGAGAGGAATGGGGACTTATGCCATCCAGAGTTTTATAGACAAATGTTTAAAGCAGCATTGTTCATAATAGCCAAAACTTGGAACCAATCCAGATGTCCAAAAACTGATGAGTGAATAAACACAATTCCATCCGTACAGCTGAATACTACTCTGCAATAAAAAGGAACAGACCACTCACACTCCTCATGCATGCTACAACGTGGATGAACCTTGAAAACATGATGCGAGGTGAGAAGAGCCAAACACAGATTATTGTACCTCGTACGATTCCGGTTTTATTTTTAATGTTGGTGTGTAGCTCCATTGCACGGATAGAGCATGACTTATTTAACCAAGCCCCATTGCTGGACTTGCTGTTGTTTCCCATTTTTCAATATGACCGTGCTGTGATGACCATCTTTGTGACTAAATATTTGTGGCCAATCTTAGTTATGTCTTTGGACAAATGCCCAGAAGTGGAACCGCCTGTCTGAAGGTTTGTGCCTTTTAAGGCTTTCAGTAAATATTGCCAAATGGCCCTTCACAAAGTTTGTTCAGTTGGCGCTCCAATTGGCAGAGCGTGAGCATCACATGTCTCTGCTCTCAAATATAGGACTTCCCTCTCGAACATGGCACTGCTCACCCACGGGGGGCTGTTCCAGGCCCCAGGGTCCCACCCTCATAATGTCCTGTATTTGTTTGCAGTTCCCCTGGGTACGTGGCCACCATGATCCTGCTCATCAATAGTGCCCATTGCCAAGTGGCAGGTTTCGCTGTAGCCACCGTGGGATGGATCCTCTCCACCATTTGCATGGGCTTTGCGGAGTGGCGAGTGTGGTACATGAACAACACCTCACTCCTCCCCTCGGGCCTGGCCCGTGTGGGAATGTGGAAAATCTGCATTTACTACCATGCTGACAACTTCTACAGAGCCACATCGTGTTACCATTACACCTACTGTGATACTTTTCTCCCTCTTGATATTCGTATTGCTCAAAACCTCCTGCTGATCGCCAGCATTCTAGGGCTCTTGGGGAAAGCCTCCATCACCTTTGCACTTAGGAATGTGTACATGGGAATTCTTAGGAAGAATGCCACCTGCAATGCATTTGTTGCTTCAGGAATTCTGAACATAGCTGCTGGTGTCTGTATCTCCGTAGCTGTGACCTGGAATTACCACTCAGTGATGAATGAAGAGGAAATTGCCTTCCCACCATATTTCTATGTGCCCTTCAAGCCGGATGCTCAGGAAATTGGCAATGCCATTATCGTGGCATGTCTGGCTGCCTTCCTGATGTTGTTAAGTGGACTGTGTTTCCTCTCTTATAAATTCCCCCTGGACAGCCACGTGTGTCCTGAAATTTTAGAAATATAAAATTCCTGGTTTCGTTGGCTTTGCACATCGAAGATTACCAGGAGTTTATGGGAAGTATTATCAGGAGGCTCTATCAAATATTTCCAAGGACTCACGACCATGGCAAAGGTAGATTTGGACAGAAATAGCCCACTGTTTCCTTCTGTGTCTGAATTTGGTTCATTGGTTGGTTGAATTAGGAGCTTCATTGAAAAAAACAAATCTTGCCCACCTGCCAGTTGGTCTTATTGGATCTGGATTTTAACTATTGTTGGATAAATAATCAACCTAAACAATAAACCTACTATATGGAAAGAAGAGTTTCCGAGATTCTCGCATCTCCCTCTTAAACTTCTGCTAAATACAACCGACCTTATTTCCTATGGCACGATAATAACATCTCTATCATATAAAATTTCTAAAAATGTGCAAAAGTAGAGGGAATAGCATAAGGAATACCCCCATGTTCATTACCAGAATCCAGTTATCGAGATTCTGCCATATTAGCTTTCTCTCTCCTTTCTTTCCCCCTGTTAATCTATTTTTCTTTTTCCGAAGGATTTTAAAGCAGACCCCAGACATTATGTCCCTTCATCCCTACGTACTTCAATATTACTCTCTTAAAAAATCGACGTTTCCTTGCAAACACATATTATACCTAAAATAAAGATTAAGAATTATTCCTTGTTATCATCAAATACTTAGTCAGAATTTTTTAATGCCTCAAAAATAATTCCATGGGGCCGGCCCCATGGCCTAGTGGTTAAGTTGACACACTCCACTTTGGCAGCCTGGGGTTTGCCAGTTTAGATCCCGGGTGCAGACCTATGCACCGCTTATCAAGCCATGCTGTGTCGATGACCCACATATGAAGTAGAGGAATACTGGCACAGATGTTAGCTCAGCACTAATCTTTCTCAAGCAGAAAAAGAGGAAAATTGGCAACAGATGTTAGCTCAGGGCTAATCTTCCTCAGCAAAAATATAATAATAATAATAGCTCTACAGTTTTATTTTTTCTGCATAAGGGGCTTACTCTGCCTCTTAAGTATTAATTTTAAAGCACTCTCCCTACTGCACCCTCTCTGCCCTTTTTTAAAAAAATAGTTTTGATTTTCTGAAAAAAGTGGGTCAATTGTCCTGTCATTAACATTGTTGCCTCCGAGGCTGGGTTAGATTCTGGGTCAGCTCTTTGAGGAAGACTGTTTCAAAGGTGGTGCCCTCTTCTTCACACTGAATACATTGTACCAAGTGGCATGTGGTAATTGTCCTTTTTAATGATGCTAAGATCACTGAGTGATGCTAAGATGCTCATGGTGGATCCACAAGGGAAAAGCCCGATCCCTCTTGTAAATTTCATCAAACTTCCACATAATGGTTTCATCTATTGATAGTCCCTGTTTGAATCAGTTATTGTACTAAGGATTACAAGTGGTAACTTTCTAACATGAACATTCTTGCCGGATTTATTAGCTGTGATGTTTTTGTAAAGAACTTTCTCTCATCAAGTATGGCTACTTGGTTATTCTAAAATTCAACTGATACAAACAAGGCAAGGTAAATGCTTCATTTTTTCCCCCTCTAATTGTTAAATTTCTAGAGTAAGAGGGGAGAATGCCCTAATTACCTTTGATGTTGATCAATGTGTTTTTTAAAAATTGGTTTTATGAGCCAGCCCTGATGGTCCAGTGGTTAAGGTTCGGCACTCACCCCGCTCCAGCAGCCCGGGTTCCCTTCCCGGTCACAGAACCACACCACCCGTCTGTCAGTTGCCATGCTGTGGCGGTGGCTCACATAGAACTAGAACAACTTACAGCTGGTATATACAACTGTGCACTGGGGCTTTGGGGAGAAGAAAAAGCAATTGTTTTTGGTACTATCTCGGTTTTCCTTTCTGTCTTTTTGTTCTGTGAGTATCAACTCAACTCTTGAGTATGAACTCATGAGATTGTTTCCATGTTTTTATTAGGGAAATTTTCAGATGCATTCAAAAGTAGCCAGACAATTATCTTAGCTTCAAGAATTATGGGACCGGCCCTGTGGCCAAGTGGTTAAGTTTGAGCACTCTGCTTCGGCAGCCCAGGGTTTCACCAGTTCAAATCCTGGGCGCGGACATGGCACCACTCATCAGGCCATGCTGAGGCAGGCGGCATCCCACATGCGACAACTGGAAGGACCCACAACTAGAAACGCACAACTATGTACTGGGGGGCTTTGGGGAGAAAAGGAAAAATAAAATATTTTAAAAAAAAGAAAAGAAAAAATAAATATGTGGCCAATTGTGTTTCATCTCTACCCTCACTGACTCTCACCAACTCCAGTCTTGGATTATGTTGTAATAAATCACTGGCAATGTACTATTTTATTCATGAATACTTTAGTATGCATTTCTGAAAGATAAGGACTTCTTTTTTTTTCATGTAACTACATTGGCATTATCACACCAAAAAAAGTTAACAATGGCTTCTCAAATTTCCCTAATTGTTTCATAAATGTTTTTAACAGCAACTTGTGAGTTTCTATGTATTCAAAGTGTTTCACTCAATTGCATTTGTTATTCCTTTTATGATCAGATTGTCCCATCCTTGGCAATGGAGCCACAGGGACATGTGTCCTTTGACATATCTCTATTGGTATTATTTTAAGATGAGAAAAACACCTTTATTCAAGACAATCATAACATACTATTTACCTCAAACCACTCTTCACTTTATCAATAAAATTCATGCTATGAAAATGATTTTCTAGAGAATAAAAGGGTAGAGAGAAGGACATATCAACAACAGAATTAACAACTACATTCATCAAATGTTAGAGAGGTGTTGAAATGGAAGCATAGTTATTTACTCTATGTCTAACTACCCTTTATACCTGTGGTTCTTAACCTCATAGAAATTCTCCGTGGAATAATTCCCATACACACAAAACTTCGCACAGGTTCACAACTCTCTTGAAACCTATTCATGAATCTCCTTTTCAAAATAAATGATAATTTCCAGAAATTGATTTATTATTTCATGGACATTCTAGAAACTCCCCCTTCTCATGATTTTCAGCTTATTTTTTAATTAACTTTATCAGTTAAAAACTTAGTAGAATATTAATGAGTACTGACATATCCTGCTTAAAATTATTTTGTTAAACAGCTTTGAGTGATGGTTCTTAAGGTTAAAGTTTAAGAATAAAAGCATTTTTAATAAAATTGAATCATGACTAAAGTCATTTTCCTTTCTTTCAAGAAACATGACTAGAAAGCATATTAATATTTGGAAGAGAAGGATTTTACTGCAGAAACACTGTCTCAGGAGCCAAGCAAATTCTAAATGCAGTGAGACCATTGAGCCATCTTTATAAACTCAAGAACAGGAGCACGTTAGCTTGTTCGTGGCCTGGAACCAGTTTGCATGCTTGTTTCTCAAGCTTCTGAGAGCTTGCCATCATTTTCCTGAAGTTCATGGACGGTGAAAAGAAGAACATGATATTGTTTTCATCTCAGTTCCGGCTCATCTTTAGTATTTTCTTTAGTATGTTTGAAAAAGGCTCTAAGTCTTTTCCCAGAGCCTGTTGTTCTTTTCTGCTTCATGCCTGTTTGGATGATGCTGGAATACTTTCAGAAAAGCATTGGGTTCCTGACTATTTTTTCCATGCTCATTTTGCTTGAGAGAATCTGCATTTTGCCTTCAGCATTTTCCTTTCATGTTCTGCAGCTATGCTACATTCTATATCTTAGCACACTTTTTCATAATTCTTCAGTTCTCTGGGATTTGGATCATGTACCAGTGAGGTTTTGCCGATTGAAAAGCCGCATTGTGACATTGTGCTCAGCGTACATTGGCACCAGCCATATCCCTCCTCCTGGGATCCAGAGTTGCACCATTTAATGAAATTCTTCACTAGCTGATTAATTCTCTGACCGTCCCCACCAATTAAGAGGTGCTTTCTATGACTCACAGTCAGTCATAGGCCCCTGGCCTGCATGGTGGTAGTGATGATGGTTCCTAATAGTATCTTTTATTTTATTAAAAGTATTTTAAATAATATTTTATAACATTTTTATTGAAGCATAAGTCACAAACCATGAAATTCACCCCGTAGCATGTACAACTGTTTTTTAGTGTATTCACATAGTTGTGCAGCCATCACCACTATCTAATTACAGGACATTTTCATCACCCTAAAAATTACAGAACATTTTCATCACCCTGTTAGTCATTGAGGCTTTCTTTTTTGTCCATCCACAAGATGTCCCAGGTGCACCTTGTACATTTCAGGCCCAAGACTTTGAATCAGCCATGCCATTCCTTTGGTGAGCCCTAGACGTGGAGATGGTATTTAGAAACCACAATTTGGGAACTGGTGGTGTCATTCTACTGGGTTGTCATTATATCTAGATATTTTAGTGGACAGAACTAGGATATATTAATTTTTAAGAAGAAAAAATTATATTATGAAATTATTTTCAATTCAACCTTAACTCACAGAATTTTTATTTGGCTGCAATTTTATACTGCATTTCTTTCTCTCAGATTGAAAACCCAACAATATTAACATATTCTTTTGCTTTCTTCTATGATATATAAAATTTTAAAAATAATATTACTAATATCATTATTGGCCATAAAACTACTTAATAAGATTTCTTCTAAGCCCTGTTTGTCTCTAGAATTTATTGTAATAGGTATATATAGTCAAAATGCTGCTTTCTAAAGTTGTTTGACATAATGATGGTTGTACCATTAACCACTAATGATGGTTGTATGGTTATATCACTAACTTGGTAAGCAGTTAAGTTGATTCATTTCATCTTCTTTTCTATTTTTAGGGATCATTTTTGTGTTTTTGACAGTTGTATTTTTTTAATATGTGAAATATTTACATAATTTCAAAGTGAAAGTTATTTAACCAGGTTTATTCAGAAACAATCTGAATAAACTTCTGTTCCTACCCCATTCTATGCCCTCCCATCTTAGGTAACTTTTTAATTTTTGGTTTACTTTCCAGTGTTTTCTTTTGTGAATATAAGAGTATGTGTTCATATTTATTCCATCTCTTACAAAATGCAATCATAGTATTCATCGTATTTGGCACCTTGCTTTTTTCACTTGACAGTAAATTCCTGCAGATCACTCTATTTCAGTGTGTAGAGCTCTTTCTCACTGTTTTTATGTCTGTATAGTATTTCATTGTGTGGATGTATCCTAGTTTATTCGACCAGTTTCGTGTGTGTGTGTATATATGTATTATAACTTTGTGCATACATCTTTCTGTATTTTTTCCAGTGTACCTTCAAGATAGATTCCTAGGACTGCTGGAGCAAAGGGTCAATGCTTCTACAGTTTAAAATTATATATTGCTAAGTCTTCTACTATAGGCATGATCCATTTTGCTCTCCCATGAGCTGCCTGTGAGAATGTCTGCTTCCTCACAGCCTTGTCAAAAGAACACATTGTAAAGCTTTTGAATTTTTCTTCAGTATGATAGGTGAGAAATGGTATCTCACTGTCATTTTTATGAGTCTGATGTGCTGCTGACTGCACCAAGAAGGCAGCTTCTCGGTGGCATTTTTTTTTCTTTTTATTAAGATTATGATAGTTTATCGGTGTCATTTTTAACTTATATTTCTTTTATTAGTGAGACTGAACATTTTTCCAAATATTTAGGCTATTTTTCATTTCTTCAATGATATGTCAGTTATCTGCTGCTGTGTAGCAAATGACCCCAAAACTAAGTGACCTAAAGCAACATACATTTATGA